AACTGTCTACAGAAAATTGAGATCTTAAAAATATAAGTATTATATTAGCAAATAGAAAATAATAATAATAAGAAAATAAGCAAATGTGCAAAGAACCAAAAAGACTGGACTGAAGATCAATGGACAAAAAAAACCAATCCTAAGATGTCTGAGTAGAATGCTCTTTATGCGTCAGACGGCCAGTAGGCAACTCTGTAAAGGTCGAGAGCAGGAATTCCCAAAATATGGTTCAGGGGTATGCAAGTTGCCACTAGTATGATGGCTGTGGGTTTCTTTTTTTTTTCAAGGCAATAAAGACGCATGAATAAAAACTTTATTCAATTCAAAAGCTGAGATTTGAATTTCCCAAAAAGTTTGGGAACCACTGGTTTGGAGCTGTTATATTGTCTTAATAATAATGGCTAATGATAAAATATACCAACCACAAAACAAGTTCCCCACAGTATTTTACGTCCATGCAATTTGCCATTTTACAGACACTTTGATTTTCCATACATCAACACAAACCTTCGAGACCAAGGCAATATATAAAAGTCAATACAAACTAAACTAAATGACAAAAGTGCAATACCAGTGAAAACATGTGGGGGGAAAAATCTACACAGAATTCACAGTGCTGTATCCCTGCAAATGTATATGAAAGAAAGAAATGTCAAATGAAACAGCGCTCTGGGACACAGCGATGTGTGATGAGTGAGAAAAACTTTAAGTTTAATATGTGAAAAAGGATTACTGATCTGATCTGGTTGTAAATCCACTGGCATTTAAAAACTGAGATGTAAATGAGTTCACTGCCTATGAATAAGATTGTAAAGAATCGTTTAATTAGCAAAATGAAATAATCTAATTGTAGAATGTGAATTATTAAACTTTTTGTCCATTTTTTTGGTTAAAACTAAAAAAGGCCAAGTCACACACCACACAGCATTCTTTCCCCTCATTGGAAATAAAAGCCTTTGCCATATTTTGTACTACATTTAGTGTAACATAAATTGCATTTTGCTCAACTCTCCATATTTTTTTTCCATGGAATTACACGGAAAAAGTGAACAGACTCATTATAAAATATCATATTAAAGCTTGAAAGTCTAATAAGGTTTCCGAAGAAAATAAGCCATTATAAAATATATGAAAAATTAGTCATTAGGCTATTTTATGCTCTTTTTACAATCTGCTGCATAAGAGCTACGAGAACTGCAGAGGGGGTTTTTAATATTTCCATAATTCAAGTCATCCAATAGCATCGGGATTAAATTCAAAGAATAGACCACTTATCTTAATGCATCGTTATGAAACGGCACTTGTTCTAATGAGTCATGTAAGTCCACGTCTTCATCCACCAGTGAACCCATGCACTAAAAAGACACTCTTTTACAGCTCTCCGCCTGGAAGAACCTTCTATTTGCTGCACCTCAATGCCTGTCCGAGGGACAACGGGTCGAGGCGCTCAAGGAGAACAGAGCTCAACATGTGAGCGTGGAGGAGTGTATTTACAGTAGGAATAGATGGCAGGCGAGATGAGGTCTGGTTTTAATAGAGCAGCCAGCCTCGACGCTCTGACAGCCAGCTGCGTTCAGAGGCCTCAGAGGAGAGGTGCCAAGGAGAGGTGAGGAGCAGCGAGGAGAAAATAAAAGTGTGTCTGGGTGTGTGGCTAAAGTAGGTGTGTTTTACAAGCTTACGGGGACATTTGGATGCTGCATGAACAGAAAAGAACCGGCTGAACTGTCACCTCGGTGTCACAGGAGCTCATTAGCAAAGAAGTGAGTTTAAGGGTAGATAAGGTAAAATGGTCGGAGGTGAAGTGATGTGGTCGACAGCATGTGTGAAACCATCTGAGACTGTTCTCTTTTGTGAAGAATAATGACGTAGGTTCTTTTCTGAGAAAATGTTCAAAGCTAAAACATTTATGCCAAAGGTACAAGAGAAGAAGAAATCCACAAACGTCAGAGGAATACTTCCACTAAAACCAGCTCGAAGGTGAACCATATATATTAAAAAAAAGTACACTTCAATTCAAACAAAGAAGAAGAATTATTCTCTAATAAGAACAGCTAAGCATTTTGTTGTTAGTTTAGTCAACATCCAGCTTATTTGGCTAGTTTTTGCATTTTTTTAGCCTTAAAGTTAAAGTTTTAACTACTCTTTTTTCACGACGGCCTTAATTTTTCAAAGTTTTAACTACTCTTTTTTCACGACTTCTTAAAGCTAACCTTTAGCTTTGGTAATTTTTGCGACCATTAAGCCATCTCTTTTCTGTACTTATTTATCTGTGCCCGCTTGACTAAATGTCTGGACAACTAGTCGACACAAAAATCCCTTCAGCTGTCAATCTTCTGACAAGTGTGTGAGAGCTGAACAGGTATGAGCTTTAACTCCCTCTTCCTGTCCGTCTGTGAACTCCACACACTCTCTGTGTGCAGACACAGCACCCACTGTGTGGACGACTGATGATGATAGCTTCAACAGTGACATGAATTTTTTAAACTTGCTCTCAGCCAGAAACATCAAACTGCATTTCACCAAATGTGAAAAACATTTCTTCAGGTCCTGCTCTTTATGTTTCCATCCTCTGAAACGTAATGTACGATTTCCTCAGGACATGGATGAGGAATATAATCAAGACAGACGTGACAATTTGCTAACTTTTAGCAATGTCTTTTTCTCTATTGTGTTTAACTATCTCATGGTCATGTATATATGCTATAAACATGTTCATATACTTTTGCTAATTTATATATAGCACAATCTTTGCCTCATCTTTATCTATTCTTATTTTTACTAACTACAACTCACTACGTAAATTTGATTTTTTAAGTATATTTATTACTGTCATAGAACTTATCTATTTGATAATCCACAGACACCAAAAATAAGCTCTGTGCTAAGCCTTTTTGAATAAATTGTTTTTACTTAGGATTTGCTTGACCTCATAATATTCTGTTCAAGAACATTAAAAACCACTATCATGAGAGTTTTGGGATGGAATTCTGACCTTTCTGACACTGACCACCTTCTCTGGTCACTTCTACAGCTGTATGATGCTGACAAAACACACAACCACATTTTCACTCTCACACACACACTCAGTTGCTGACATTCACCTTTTGTCTCCCTCTGTCTCCCTCTCTCTCTCAGACACTGGTCTGACAGCTGTGGAACATTTTCTCACCAATGTCACAACCACAGAGAAGCTTTTAACACACACTTTAGTGTAATATTCATAAGGACTGCTCTACTTTCTGCCATCAGAGAGTGTGAGCGGGACACTGATCTGCTGCAGTGTGATGTGGTTCTGATATAATATTAATGCTAGTTGTATGTTCTGCCCCATTTCTCACATGCAACCTGCTTCCACATTCTCACAGTGGTACAATCATTATTTGGGTCCATCTCTTCTCCTTGTTTTTGTTATTGCTGAGCTAAAGTTCTGTTTATACACACACACACACACAACCACACAAACACAAGCACACAACTTTCAAGTGCATAGATGTGCAGCAGTGATCGATGAACTTGGCAGGAAAACAAAGCTCACAATCCTTTCTAGAGTTTTCTTTGCCAACCAATAGAGCCTGGATTATCTAAAAAGCCCAGATGCACTAAAGGTTGACTTTCTTAGTTTTAAACTGTACTTTAGAAGAAGTTTGCACAGTTGCAATTTCTGTAATTGCTCTGCTTCCCAAACCTCCCCTGTTGAGAAGTAAGAGGCTTGTAAAAAAAAAAAAAAAAAAAAAAAAAAAAAAAGGTTGTGAATAGTTCATTGTAAGTGAGCATTTTTGCTGGTCTGCCTCAATGCTTCAAAGAACCTCCTGTAAATGAGCTGAAGCATGAAGGACTTTTACCCGTCTATAATTTACCTCCTCACGTCCTCATATTAGTCAAGAATAAGTGACTAAATGGTTGATTATTCACTGAAGTGTTCGACCTTGTGACGTCGGACGCATCCGAGCATGATGACGCAGATGGGTGACGAATTAAAGGCAGAAACCTGAAGATACGTATAAGTGTGAATTCCTGCAGACCGTGAGTGGTCACCGAGCGGTTGGATGAGATCGAAAATTGTCTGTATTACACAGAAGCGTTCAGTGGAACACCTCAGGGAGATTCAAGGACCGCTCTGGCACAAAGTTCACCTCTATTCATGTTCAATGAGAAACAGGACAATGACACCCTGGTACCAGTACCCTGTACTGACTGAAACAATCCACTTCTTCACTGTTATAATACAAGGTAACACTGCCAATATTTTATCTTAGCAATTAAATACAATCACTATTGGATAAACACAGTTGATGCAATCAACAAGTTACTGTACACCGCAGCCAGAGGTAAACCACATACAATAGCATCAATTTCACACTAACCAAGTGAAACAAGACCCAGAATTTACACAAATATATCACTGCTTGAACAGTGATATAGTCTCTCTATTACCCCATACTCGCTTGAAATACCTCTGGGTTCGGTTGTGTAACCTGTCTCTCTATTACCCCATACTCGCTTGAATTGTGCGCAGGTTTTCATAAATATGCCATAAAGTATCATATGGAAGATGAACTGAGCAAAAAATCATGCGGTTGTTGAATGTAAAAAAAAAATTACAATAAAAAATAGAAAGAAAACACCTGAGATTGATAAGAATCAAGAATCAGGAAGAGTTAAACGATTAAAAGTACTGATACTTGTTGGTCCATACAATAAATACATCACAAAACAAACAAAACAAATACAAATGCAGAAATTACAAACAATCCTACAGAAAATGCAAAATTATGTCTTTCACAACGAAATAGATATAATTATATCAACAAATCTACGTAAGGTAATTCTCTTAGTTCCATTGCACTCATTTTCTGTTAACAGTCTTACCCATAATGACAGCAAACAGTTATGCACAGATTTAAATACTACTATAGATTTAAATACTACTATAACACCAAAAATGTATATGTGAAATATACCCCTTCAGGTACTTTTCTTTTAAAAGACAACAATCCTACCTGCTTACGCTGACCGTAGTTTTCTCGTTTACGTTGTTTTTTCTTCGGAATTCTCCAATTGCAGCAAACTAAACTCAAGATATAAACAACAGTTTGTTGAATTTTGTTTCTTTTATGTTTCCTTCCTGAACTTGACATTTATAGGTAGAAACGAGACAATAATTAGCATACACACCTGTGGCAGCGTCACCGTTCCTCTCTCTGCTGCTGATAACAGTCGTGTTAATTTCACTAACTTAGCGGCGTCGCTCAGCGAAGTTTCCCTCTTCTTAAGCAAGATTTTCCGGCACCAACGTTCAGCTTTTGCTATTTGTTAGGACTTTTTAAAAAATGTGTTAAATACAAACGCATACAAGTTCCTTCGTGAAACGTTCAATTATTCAGCTGGTGTTAGGACTTTTTTTTAAAAAATGTGTTGAATACAAACGCATACAACTGGCTTCGTGAAACGTTCAATTATTCAGCTGCGTCACGAACTTGTACGTCGCCTCTACGTTACAGTCTTGCGCAGACGCACAGGGTTGCCAGGTTTTTCTTTTCTTTAGAACTGAGCGGTTTGTGCGCTATTCAACGCTTGACGTATTAATAAAACACACAAATATCTTTACAAAATACGAACTATGTTAAATTATTATACTTATACAAATGAAAAACAGAAAACACAATTATAATTATATATATACCTTGCCAAATAAGTATAATAATATATAATATACCAAATAAGTAATGGTTCTCCGTGGAGCTAAAGTCGGTTGATTGGTGATCTTGGAGCGGTTTGACGCTAACAGAAATATAAATATGAAAATAAAACAAGGCTGATTTCCATCGTCATGTTGTAGTGTCACTTTGCTGGTGATGCCTTTAATAATTTGCTAAACATATAAAGAATACATAACATTTGTGTTTTTTATAGTGAGCTTTTTATTGCTATTATTTACATTTTACTGGATCGTGTCCTGAAAGTTTTTCAACCATTAAATATGATATATATATAATAGCTTCCAAGAAGCATTCAAGGAAAAGTCCAGTTGTGAACGTGGATCATAACATAACAAATGTGAGATTCATGGCAGTTCCAGTCTGTGCAAAAACATAAATTCTTGAGGACAAATCTCGTACAACTTCTATAAATGACTCTGAAAAGCGAGACTAAACTGCTTTTGTTTGCATTGTTGGCTTTAACCCACCGACCTGCTGCAGAGTTGTCGGGCCTCTAATAAACTGCAGCATTTCCCTGCCTTGGACAGGGACCAGCACCTGCATTTTCTGGGACGTCTGGCCATATTTTCTCATTGTTTTCCAGCTTCACGTCTCATTATTATCATCACCTGCTGGAACGCTTCACATTAACGCAGCAAACTTTGCAGAAATTGAATCCAAACTGTTTGTGAGTGCAGCCCTAAATTTGTTTCCTGTCAGCGGCTCTACTTATAGTCATTATCTTTTTGCCTTTGTGCCCTTCTCCTTCCTGCTTCCTTCCTTTCTTTTCTTGTGTTTTTCCTGTATCCTCGGTGTAACTAATGGTCCTTAAACACAGCTCCAGCTGTCAGAGTGTTGGGAAGCAAATCACAACAATCATGAGTTATTATCAGCAGTGCTGTGGACTGATTGTGCTAATGTCCATACTGATGGCATTAATGCCAGCCCTGATTGGAGCACATCCATCATCATCTCCTCCACCAGTGAAGAGGTAATAACAGGCTTTATCCTGATAATGGAAAAGACAGTTAAGCTGAAGATTAAAACTAAACAGTGATAACAAGCCACTGCATATTAGAGAATTAGCGAGAGCAGAAGGATAAATCTCTGCCTCCCTCTTTTTGTGATGATGTCCTTGTCTCCTTTCTTTAACTCCCACTTCATCCTATTTACTAACAGGCAGTACACACTTCATTTTCCCTCCTTTATATCTTTTTCTTCTTCTGCCTTAACCTTTATTGCCCTTGAGGAATACATTTTCTCTTCTTTGTTACTTGCTTCTCATATGGACAGTAGTGTCATTGAAATAGCTCAAAGTTAGCAAAAATAGAGACGAAGATAAAATATCAGAATAACAGTTTAAATTTTGTTTCATTTTAATACAAGTTTGCCCAGAAAAACATTAAAATTACAGAAGAAATAACAAGGAATTAGCCTTAAATACACATAAGTGACACCAGAGAAGTAACAAGGTAGCCTTAAATACACATAAGTGACACCAAAAAGGTACAACCTGACTGAGATAACAGAAAATAATCCAGAAAAGCTACAAGTTAGCCAATCATTGCAACAAACAAGTCTACCGATCATTAAAATTACAAAATATTTAAATGAACTACAAAACTACAAAAACCCAAGCTAACTAAATATATAGTATATTTATACAATAACAACAACCAAATGAAATATTCAAAATTATTACATGTAAACCCAGATATACATAAAAAGAGAGATTTGACAAAAATGTAACCTCAATCTAATAATAAACTTTCAAATTACATTTAAATTTTAGACTCAAATGTAGCTTACCCTTAGTCCATTTTAGATATATGTAGCATTAATGAAACAGATGACCTTAAAAAATGAATGAACATCTTACTCCAGTCACCAGCATCACAGTATCTAATCCAACCTTTATTTCTATCACTTCTCTACTCCTCATATAACAAGTCTTTTTCTCCTTATTTATCATTTTTTGTTGGAATCTTCTCTGATTCCTCCTCAGTTTTTCTCTAAAGAAGTATTTTTTTTTACGTCCATTTAACTCGTCGTGTTTGACGGCCAGCTTCTCTTTACCCTGGCTCCTTGTGTATGTGTGTATTTTTGTGTCCATATCCTCATCTCATACTGGACGCCTGTCCATTTTTGGGTTAGCAGGAGTTATATGGGTTTTAATGAGAACAGCTATGTCACAAAAAATCAGTGTAAAACCTTCCTAAAAATTGAAGAAAAAAAAACCTTTGACCTTTAACAATCACGGGGAGAATATAAAGTGTGTGTGTGTTTTGTGTATAAGTGATTGTGTGTGTTTGTGTTGTCATACTATGAGAGTTCAGCAGAGCCTGAAATCTTTTTTACTTGTTCAATAAATACAAATGAATGTATTGTATGTGAATGCATGTTTTTCTCTGTGTGTGTGTTTTTGTGTTTCCTGGTGTGTGTGTGTGTGTGTGTGTTCTGATGAATAGCTCAGCTCTTATGTTCTGGCCCACTCTGTGAACTAACTCAACCATTTAATCACCCTCTACCTTCTCCTTCCACGCTGTTCCTGCCTTTCTCAGTGTACTGCAGGGGTTCGCGACAACACTCATTGTTTCAGTGTGTGCGTGTGTGTGTGCGTGCGTGTGTGTCCAGCCTGCCGGCCGCTACACCTGTCGAACAGAGAGGGGTGACACGCGCTCACACACAGGCTCGTTACACTTATTTGACGTACACACCCTCTGTAACTCTCCTCCCTCTAATTGCTTGACCAGAGCTGTTAGTTTAGCTTTTACATTTAACAGTGACACATTTTTCTAACAGGGTTCAGAACAGACTGTTTCAGACAATTATATTCACATTTCTGGCACCAAAATATTCCTTTAACTCTAAGCCTTACATTAAGAATGATTTAAATGACTTTTAGGGCGCACTCACACAAGGGCAATTTGCTCCATGTCGCGCTAAAGTGCCAACAGGCCTCCTCCCCTACCCCTGGTCCGCACTCAAATTACCCCCAAAGGCAAGCGAGCTAAAGCCTGGTTAGCTCCGACACGTCAGTATAAACAACAGTGACTGTTGTTTGCACGTGGTTAAAGCAGCGCGGTCGAGAGCGAATTCAGACAAAGGATCTTGAAAATAGTCGGCCCTCTGATCAACATGATGTCATCATCACCGAGAGCTGCTGTCGCTCAGAAACCTGATGAAGCACAACATCTGCAGCAGCGTCTGACTGTGATATGCATGGAGGGTGTGTGTTTTGAGTGGATGGCACACACACACACACACACGGCTGCTTTGTGAACTAATGTCTTCATTTATTGACTGAACAAGTTTGGCTCTTTTCACCGTTTGGCAATCGTGCTTGGGTGCGGTACAAGTTTTATCTATAATATTTTTAGTTTATTAACGCTTTCTTGTTCTTAAAAGTTGTATCTACTTTGGTGGAACTCCTTGCAGTATAATAAATGGCTAAAGCAGCAGGTTTTTGTTGTCCTAAATCCTGGGGCTCCACCGTTAGCTGACAGTTGGAGAAAACCCAGGCTAATTTGCAGAAGTTGCCGTCTGTTTGCACCTGCAGCTGGGTGTCGGCCCGTTGGACTGTTTCTTTGTTGCGTGTGGTCCTGAGTTTGTCACTGGACGGACTGCAGGTGTGTTAGTGTGTGTGTGTGTGTGTGTGTGCGTAAGTGTATATGTGTGTGTCTGCTGTCATAATGAGCACTGGGCCATGGGATGCCCAAAGGCAAGGTTCCCTTTACAGGGTCAGACTCAAGGACGTCTGGCACTGGTCCACTTGCAGCACACACACACACACACACATACACACACACGCAAGACAAAGTGGACCAACATACTGTCCACTGATTCAGAGCCAGTAAATGATGTCATGTATCACAACATCTAAATATCACCCAACAATTCTTTCATTACTTCACTGGGAAAGAGGGTCTTTACTAGTGAGAGTCCTCTGATATTTATGCAAACACACACACACACACACACACACACACACGGAAACACCCTCTATTTGCCCCCAAACACAGCATTCACGCTCCACCAGTGCAGAGTTTAGGTTATTAATGACAGCACGTCCTAACAGCAATACAGAACTACTGTCCTGGAGAGGAGAGGAGGGGAGAGGAGAGGAGAGGAAAGGAAAGGAAAGGAAAGGAGAGGAGAGCAGAGGAGAGGAGAGGAGGTGAGGAGAGGAGAGGAGACGAGAGGAGAGGAGAGGAAAAGAGAGGAGAGGAGAGGAAAAGAGAGGAGAGGAGAGGAGGAGAGGAGAGGAGAGCAGGAGAGGAGAGGAGATGAGAGGAGAGGAGAGGAAAAGAGAGGAGAGGAGAGGACAGGAGAGGAGAGGAGAGCAGGAGAGGAGAGGAGATGAGAGAAGAGGAGAGAAGAGGAGAAAAGAGGAGAGGAGAGGAGATGAGAGAAGAGGAGAGAAGAGGAAAAGAGAGGAGAGGAGAGGAAAGGAGAGGAGAAGAGAGGAGACGAGAGGAGAGGAGAGGACAGGAGAGGAGAGGAGAGCAGGAGAGGAGAGGAGAGCAGGAGAGGAGAGGAGAGCAGGAGAGGAGAGGAGAGAGGAAAGGAGAGGAGAGGAGAGAAGAGGAGAAAAGAGGAGAGGAGAGGAAATGAGACGAGAGGAGAGGAGAGGAAAGGAAAGGAAAGGAAAGGAGAGGAGAGCAGAGGAGAGGAGAGGAGAA